TAGGACAACCGGAATGGTGAAAGTTCTTGGGATTTTGTTCTATAAAAATTGCTTGAAGGAATCGTAAATGTCTAGACTGAGGGAGAATTAGATGGTGCAAAATAGTGTCTTAAAATATGTGAGAGTTGTCCTATAGAGGAGGGATTAGTCATGTTTTACTAGGCCCCAGATTAGCTAGGAATAATAGCTAAAAGTTGAAGGGATGGACAAATTTTGGGTGATGTAAGGACAACTTCCTAATGTTTAGAACTTTCTAAGGCACTGCTTCAGGATGTGGTGGGTTCCCCTGGCTGAAAGCCTTCAAACAGGGAAGGTTGTAGAAAGGATTCTTGCTCACTCACTCACTCACTCACTTCACTGAGTTTTCTTTCAATGCTGAGATGCTGTAATTCTTTTGATGTTCTCTTGGAATTGTACAGAAAGACAGCAGCAAGAACCTTGAAGGCATGATGAGAAAAAATATGTATTAATAGAAAAACTGGTCCACTATGAAAAGGAATGTCAGTCTGGAAAAGAGATATGGAATTACCAAATTTATGGTGTTTATCATTTTCTACAGTGTTCCACTCATCTCTTTAGTAATTACATTTACTTACATTTATGCAAGAAATAGGAGACTTCAGCTTATTCTGTTGATGTAAAACATATAACCAGGAGGTATAATAGTCAGTTAAGAAGTGTTTATCAAGCACCTGCTATATGCCAAACCTGAGTAAAGTGCTGGGAACACAAAAATAGGAAAAACGAAACAAAAGCAATCTTTGCCTTTAAGTAATATGCATACTAAGGAGAGACAACATGTAAATCACCAGGTATATCATTGAAATGATAATTGGCAGCTGGTGAGATCTAAATATAGATGGAGAAGAGAAGGCTCAGGAAAGAGCTTTAAGAGATGCCCCCAGTTAGGGGGCATGACACGGATAAAGAACCGACAAAGGAAACTGAGAAGGATTATTCAGATAGATAGAAGGAGGACCAGGAAAGAACAATGTCACACAAAAAAAACAACATAGCAAAAAGGGAATAAAGTTTGACTCCTCTCACAACACTTGTGAGAGCTCTCCACATGCAGATTTCCATATTGTTTAAAAACTCCTCGTGGGAACCTTTGGAGCTTTTCATCTATATCTTTTAATCATTTTTATAAATTCATCTATGGTGATTTAATAGATAATGGAACAGCCATGGTTTCCCAAAAGTATGTCCAGCATCAGTTGACACCACAAAGGGATATGAATATCTTCCTACCCAGCCTGTTTTATTCTCACATAGAAAGAAATGTGAGATGTGTACATTTAGAGACACCTCCACTTCAAATGTGCATGCGGACCATTTGTGCCCAACCTGTGGTAGAGCCTTCTGAGCTCATATTGGTCTGATCAGCCACAGTCCGACACACTGTGCCTCGACCCCAACAAAGTGTCGTCATTTTGGTCCTTTTAGATAACAAAGGACAACCACCACTATTCTCACGTGCATCTTCCCAGAATTTACAAAATTTGACAATTTATAGGAGCTTTATCTTTACTAAGACACCAACTCTGTCATTTGCAACAACAAAGGGAAGACTAGGATCTTCTCTCTCTCTTTCCTTTTTTTTACATTTTTATTTAAAGTTTTGAGTTCCAAATTCCATCCCTCCTTCCCTCCCCTAACTTTTCACTGAGACAATAAGCATCTAATATAGGTTATATCTGTGCAATTATGTAAAATATTTCCATGTTAGTCACTTTGTACCAGAAGACACAAATAAAAGAAAAAATGAAAGAGAAAAGTGAAATATAGCATGCTTTAGCCTGTATTCAGACTGTAACAGTTCTTTCTCTGGAGGCGGATAATATGCTTCATCATTAGTCCTTTGGGATTGTCTTGGATCATTGTATGGCTGAGAATAGCCAAGTCATTCACAGTTTTTTATCAAACAATATTGCTGTTACTGTGTGCAACATTCTTCTGATTCTGTTCATTTCACTAAGCATCAGTTCATGTAAGTCTTTCCAGGTTTTTCTGAAATCATCCTGCTTGTCATTTCTTCTAGCACAGTAATATTCCTTTACAATCACATACTCCAGCTTGTTTAACCATTGCCCAGTTGATAGTCATAGGATCATCTTTTTATGGAGTTACTGAGTTGATGATTGATTTATCATGGGGACAGCACATTATAAAGTGTGCTTCAGTTTGCTGGAAAGTGCTGAGGACACTAAGGAATCTTAAGAATTGGGATGAAATTGAGAGACCTCACTTTGGATGACCTGCATTTTAAAATGAAGCAGGAGGTAAAGTTATCTAACTTACTGGTGGATCTTCAGGAGAGCAAAAAGTTTAAAATAGTGACTGAATAACTGGTAATACCTATTCTATATAGGACCCCAAGTTAATCCTAATGAAAAGTAAAAAATAAGACATAAGTATCATTAAGGAGCAGGTTGTGTTCACAAAAGGCTAGAATACTAGCCATAACGTGAAAATGCAATGAGTGATACAAATTACCATGTTAGTTTATAGAAGGGATAAGTCATTTCTTACTAGGGGTGTCAGGGAAACCTTCATAAAGAAACATGTTTTGAGCTGGGTCCTGAGTGATGAGTGGGACAGGCTGAGTTGATGTCAAGAGCATTCTAGGAGAAAGGAATTATGGCAGGAATGAAAATTCCTTGGAATCAAACATTGCCTTCTCAAGGAGATCCTCTTTTAAAATATACATGTCAATATGATGACTCAGGAAAACAATTAACATGATTAATTTGAAAGTTTGATCCTCCACATTTTGAAGGTATTTTGGTGCTGTGGGGAGTTAGGGAGGCATGATACTGTTCAGTTCAACAAGACACTGTTCTAGACACAAGATAGAACATGTACACAGTAAGTAGATACAAAGTAATATTTTAAGAAAAAGAGATGGTACTACTCTAGGTTGATCAGAAAAGGCTTGTGCTTTGAGGTAAACTAGGAATTCCATGAGGCAAGTTCAATTGAGATGGATAGTTAGGAGACAGACCTAGAAAGACAAAGCCCTGTTGAGGCAAGACTTTGAGATGCCATCCCCTGGTTGGGCAATGGGGGATTAGGGAGAGATGGACACCTTAGACTTTCTGTGAGCAGGAGAAATCTCATTCCATACTACAGGGGAGAAATTTCATTCCACAACATACCAGAAAAAAGTTTGATCTGTCCTTTGGAATCTGTCCCATCCCTATCCCCACAATGGTTGACATTCAACCCTCAACTAACTCACAAGCCCTGGGACAATGTGAGTGGTGTGGGAAGAGAGAAGGCCAGTGGAGACATTCAGAAAGACATGTCCAGGGAAAGGGGTACCAGGACAATGGTACAACTGTACCCAAGGGTACAAGTCCAAAGCCAAGTGAGAGTATGAGTGGTTGTACAATATGATGTAGGGCTAATGAAGCATCACAAAGTACCAGGACAATGAGGAATATGTATTCCTCACCAATTACTCCACCCTAATTATAGCTCTGTTTCTATGGTTTGTAGCAAGAAAAAGAATGGTGGAAATGTTAGAAAGAGAAAGAAAGAAAATACAGATACTTGCAAGGTAGTAGAACGCTTGAACCTTTCTCAAAAGATACTGTCAGTGCAAGTCTGGATTAATTGTGTCAAAATAAACAGTTATATTAGTGATTCTAAAAAGTTTTGTACTGCCACTAAATAGCAACAATCATAGCTACAGTTTCCCATTATATTTGAAGTATATATATATATATATATATATATACATATATTTGAAATCAATGTCAAGTTCATCCTCTTACCCTTTTCTCCTCAAAGTTAAATCTATTCAATTGCTTGCATTTTTCCTTACTGACCCTATCCTTAACCCACACCGAACAGTTATCTTCCACATATAGCACTGATTTTTGGGAAAATAAGTGTTTGTGTAGAAGTACATATAATATGGCAATCCCTCAAAATAAGGGGCCCAAGGTTGTAGAAAACTCCAACCTCATTATGGCAAAAATTTTCTCATCCTACAGGTTAATTTGTATGTCCCAATGAGAGGAAAATACAGTGAGGGCAATGCCTTGAAGGATTCAGTTTTGCTCTCACTAAGATCATTCTGGTACTATTTAAGTGACAGTCTTTTAGTGAGGTTATCAGGAGAGGATGGGTTGTGTAGATGGTATGTAATATAGCTACTTGTTATTCACAGTCCTACAAAACTCTGAAAGACTAGTTTGGGATTAAGACTGATGTGGGAATTCACATTTATTTTATGCCAGGAATTCCCAGCCTGTGGGAAAGCAATGGAGTTATTTCAAGGGGTCTACCTTATTAAATGAGTCAGTATTATGAGCAAGCAAACAGACCTTTTGTAGACAGAATAAATATTATCTCCAAAAATGTATGTTGCTATTCTAAATATATGTAGCTATTGTGATTAATAAATTATAAACTCATTTATAAGTGTTACTGTTCATACTAGCTTTTTGTCATGGGTTTTCTCAATCAATGGATCAACTAGTAATAATACTATTATTATTCAGAGGGATCTGTGAAATGCCTGGGCATTAAAAAAAATTGGAAACATGGCTTTAAATACTTCCTAATAGTGTGGCTCCAACACTCCACATCAGGTCATGAAATATTTAACTTTCCCAGGTTTGAAGCTGGACCATATTAGATCCTCACCCCAGCCTTTCCTACTCCAAGATCAATATTGCTGTTCTAAACTCCAATAAGAGTTTTGCTCTATGATAATTTGTGGAGAACTTCACGCAGAATAGGTCATTCTGCTTCTTCAAAAGGAAAGAAAGAAGGAATGAAGGATGGAAGGAAAGAATGAAAGAAGAGTAAAAGGAGAGAGCAAGAGAGAGAATTGGTTTTTTGGAAAGATACATGTAATGGAATGCCTCTGTCACTCACTGGAGATAAGAAAAAAGGAAGAATTCATTCCATCTGTTTCCGCACTCAAAGTTCCTTTTCCTCTGTGTCCAAGGCCAGTATATCTCTGAGTATCCATGGGAGGACTTCCTGAAAGAGGCATAATATATCCAGTCTGTAGTTGACTCCTCTGTACTTATGAGAAGCAAAAGTAAAGAAGAATCGAGAAAGAGAGACATTGATCTTGGAACTGTGAAGGTGGTCTGTGCTTTCTGGTGTGGCAGTCTATGCTAAGCACTATAATCCAGCAAAGGAAAAGACATGCAGGATGAAGATGGATATATCACGTTAAATTTTAAATCAAGAACATCAGCTATAACTTCAGGACTTCCAGGTAGGAATTAAAATATCCTTGGTTGTTCTAAGAGCCAGCAGATTGAGATTATTCTAATTCTAGCAGTAATTGAGGAAAGCCCCCATCCCATTTAAAAAAAAGTGTCATCTATATACTTCTATGGATATGCCTATGTTATGCCTCTATGTCTATATAGGCAGCATGATATAGAGAGCTGGCCTCAAAGCCAAGAACTGAGTCACTTCTCACTTCTTACATGTCCGGGTTATATGAGAATTAAGAGGTAACCTCTTAGTACTCTAGTCATCCCTCCTAAATTGTGAAGAAAATGCCCACTTGCTTTGGTAGAAGGAGTTTTCTCACCTGAGAGTTCCCTATACCAATGAAATCACAGGCCCCATCTCTAGATTTACAATAAGGTGTATATGTGTAGTGAGTCTGTGTGTGTGTGTGTGCATGTGTGTGTGTGTTTAGTAGAAATAGTGTGGTATAGTGGGTAAAGGACTGGACTTGGAATGAGGAACACCTAAGGTCCTGTCTCAGACATTAGACTAGCTGTGTAATGCTGTGCAAGTCACTTAACTTTTCTAAGCATTAATTTCCTCAACTATAAAATGAGAATAACAATAGCAACTACCTTACAGAGTATTGTGAGAATCAAATCAAATTTATATATATTATGTATATATGTATGTATAATATGTATATACACATACATATATGTATATGTATATACATACACGCATACATGTATGTGTGTATGTCTGTGTACATACATAAACGCATGTGTGTGTATAGTGATACACACATGCACACACATATATATGTATACATATATGTATAGTTCTTTGCAAAATTTAAGGCATTGTGTAATTGTGAGCTATTTTTTCCCAGTCAAATAATGCGCCAGAGCCCAGAAGTTATGTAGTGTCCAGATATGGGGCACAGGGACAGACTCATTTGCAAGATAGCTAAAAAGATAAGGGAAGACAGTGAGACCATTGAGAGAGGTGATCATAGGATCAAAGAGTCAGAGCTGGAAGGTATCTTTGAGGTCCCGTGATCATGTGTATATTATTTGTCTGAGAAGCATATTATTTAGTTAATGCAAAGTGCTTGAGAGCAGGGACTATTTTGTTTCTAACCCCTCATTTTACAAATGAAATTGAAATGCAGGGAGATTAAGGGATTGTCCGAGGTCGCATTGGTAGTAAATTGCAGAGCCAAAATCTGAACCCACGTTTGGTTCTAAAACCAAATCTTCTTGTTCCACCTCACAACATTGGTAGCTGTCTCCTCTCTCTATGCATCCAGAAAATATCGATGATTCCCTTGTGATTGCCTAATAAGTTCTACTCTACCCAACCTAAAATCAACTTTGAGGATATCTTGTTTTTTTTTTCCTTTTTGGTGAGGCAATCGGGGTTAAGTGACTTGCCCAGGGTCACACAGCTAGTAAGTGTCAAGTGTCAGAAACCGGATTTGAACTCAGGTCCTCCCGACTCCAAGGCCAGAGTTCTATACTGTGCCACCTAGCCGCCCCAAGATATCTTATTATTAAGGGGAAATGAAGCCTACTTACCAGAGAGAGGAATGTGTGGGAATGATCAGAGATTCATACTGGGGAGCAATTCCCTTCACTCTTGGCTTAGCTTTAGTGACATCCCTATTGATGAGACCCAGGACAGGAGAAGATGAAAGAAACCTCTAGGTAACTAAAGATGTAGGATAGCTCCCCCTTTCTTCTGTTAATCCAATAATCAGCAGTTTCAGCCCATGTCATAGATGCAAGGTTAAGAGGAAAGGTAAAGGCAGAACACAGGAGAACAGCATATCCTGGAGATGGGTTGGAAAAGCTGATAAACAAGAAGTAAGAGACAGGCTTGGTCTTGGAAGCTGCCTCTATTTCTGGTCGGCTCCTGGGAAGGTACGGAGGAGCCCCTAGCCTGTGTTTCCAGGAGGTGCATGCTGTTCTCTGACTCTCCTCTCCTGCTGGTTGCCCATAGTCGAACCCAATGTTTCTCCTCTGTGGCGTCCAATGGCTCTAACGCTGCTGTTCCTGTGCCTAGGGATGGCAGCTGGTCTGGTGACTCTAGGAATAATGTGTAAGTGTCAATTGGCCCCCAAGATTGGGATGGGAAAAAAAAGTCCTAACTTACAACTCACCTGCTTAGATAGCCTTACAATACCCATTTACACCCCGTCATAGGGACTTTACCTCTGAAGAACTTCTCACCATGCTTAAGCTCTTTTGGAGAAGCAAGATCCCAAACACCAAGAAAATGAAAATAGAGGGTTTTTCAGCCCTAATTTACATGAAATAGTATGATTCCAGAGATCTAGTGGCGAAAGTGTTACTCCTTCTTGTTCCTATTTAACTTTTTGTTGTTGTTCAGTCATGTCCAACCCCACTTTAGGGTTTTCTCAGCAAAGATATTGGAATGGTTTGCCATTTTCTTCTCCAGCTAATTTTACAAATGAGGGACAAATGAGGCAAACAGGGTTAAGTGACTTGCCCAGGGTCATACAGCAAGTAAGTGTCTGAGGTCAGATTTAAACTCATGAAGATCAGTCTTTCTGCTTCCAAGCTCTACTGCATCATCTGGCTGCCCATTTTTTTAGACTTTCTCTTATTTATTCATCAATTTTCTAGTGTCAGAATGGATTAATTAAAGAGCTAGTGAGTTCCCTTAAAGTGGAAGCTGGATGACTATTTACTAGTGGACTTAGGCAGGGGATTTCTGGAAGAATGGATCGGACCGGATAACCTTTGAATTGCTTTTTAACTCTGAGATTTCATTATTTTACCCCCAGAAGGCATGCTGCCAAAATTCTGGTCTATTGAGTAAATACTCATGAGATATTTGTTAGTTAGTAAGTTAGATTGATTTTCTGGAATTGAATCTGTCATGGGGAGCAACAGTAGTCATCTACCTCCCTTACTCTGGTTCATGGCAACCGGAGTCAGGAAATACTTTAATATGCTGTAAATTCTTCTTGGAGAGCAGACACAGTTTGACTTTTGTCTTTGTCCTCAGCACCAAGCACAGTGCTTGTCACAGGCTAAGTGCCCTACAAATGTTTGTTGATTGGTTTATCTGTTTTGTAGAGTTCATTTGATTCTTAACTCTTCACTCTGGATCTCTTTCATAGAATCTCACAAGAGGAAGAAACTCCAGGAGCCATCTAAGTCATCTAGGGGTACGGTGGATAAGACACTGAGCCTACAGCCAGGAAGACTTGAGTTCAAATTTGACTTCAGAAATTGATCAAGTCATTTAACCTCTGTTTGACTTAGTTTCTTCATCTGTAAAAATGGGGATAATAATAGCAATCACCTCCCAGGGTTGTTGTGAGGATCAAATGTGATAATATTTATAAAGCACTTTGCAAACTTAGCTAAAGTTATAATTGTTAGCCCTAGCCTGGTTGAGAATCCCCTCTACAAAGCCATGCACCTTTGCTTGACAGCTTATAGTGAGATGGAATCTAATAACTTCCAAGGCAAGCCATTCTACTTTTGTGCAAGTCTAATTAATAAGAGGAGCAGTTGGGTAGTGCAGTGGATAGAACACCAAGCTTGGAGTCAGGAACATTCATCTTCCTGAGTTCAAATCTGGCCTCAGACGCTTACTAGCTGTGTGACCCTTAGCAAGTCACTTAATCCTGTTTGCCTCAGTTTTCTCATCTGTAAAATGAATTGGAGAAGGAAATGGCAAACCAGACCCCAAATGGGGTCATGAAGAGTCAGACATGACTGAAGTGACTGAACAGCAACAATTAATAAGTTTTTCCTTACTTATTGACTAAATTTTCCTCCTTGCAATTTTCACTCAGTGCTCTTAGCTGGAGTAGGCAAAGCAGGCTAATCTCCTTCACACACTTGAAAATATCTATCACAAAGGCCCTTCATCATTGCAGCCCTCTCATCTGGACTCTCTAAAATTTATCAAGGTCTTTCTTAAAATATGGTGCCCAAAATTGAACAAAATATTCCAGATGTGTTCCAATCAGGGCAGGGAACAATGGAGTTATCAGATATTTTGTTAACGCTTGTTAACTAGATTATCTGATGACTTGAGTAACAGTTGTGTTATGTTCCAGACTTCCTCTCTTCATCCCTTAATCCCTCTACAGAACTCTCTGCCCTATATGTGTGTTATAAATTATCCGGGGATCAACAACTATTGGATTCATAGAAAGGCCTTTGATTCGTTACAAACTAACATTATTAAATTTCTTTCACCTCCCCCTTCCCAGACCCCCCAGTCTTCCAACAACAAGATTACCTTCCTACCCAGGATGGAAATCTCTCAGAGATTCTCCAGAAAGTAGCAAAAAACTTCTGTCAAGAGCTTATTCAAAAGTCTGCGGGTAAGTGTATCTGGGGACTCATTGCCTTTTTCTTGGTCCATCCCCTCCCTCTCTGCCAGATATCATCTTTGGAGTCTTGAGATCTGAGAAGAGAGACTCCAATATCGAGAGAGTCAGAAACCATAGCTGACTGAAGAGGTACCTTTGCTCTGGCTTCTACTATAGGTCACAAATGTAACCCCTGTGACACCAACTGGAGATATCATGGAGATAGATGCTATGGTTTCTTCAGACACAATCTGACATGGGCACAGAGTAAACGATATTGTGCTGAAAGGAATGCCACTCTTCTGAAGATACTCAACCAGGATACTTTGGTAAGGAGATTGAACTCTCATCCCACGTCAGAGGAATTGCCATAATGAGTACTCTAGGAAGACTGTGAAAAGACTCCAAATGGTTAGGTTAGCATGCTGACTCCCTTGATTCCTCAAAATGTGACCTGCCTAAAAAGTGTAGGATGTTCTTGAGAAACTGGTAAACGATATCCTCTCACTCTGCCTGGAACTGCTGAAGCTTCTACAAGGAAATCTTTCTTGGCATTTAGAGACTTTCTCTTTTCCAGTTTCTCTCCAGTTAGGTAACACAGAAGATGCTTTGAAACTCCCAAATCACTTAATAGGGGAATAGAGTGAACATTTATCACCTGTATTTCTATAAACTCTTTTGAGTTTCTGTAAAAATCTTCAAGGCTAAAGTTAGGGGAGAGATACCTACCTGAAAAATATATACACATGCATACATACATATACATATATATCTGAGGAATAAAATATTATTCCCAGTGACTGAAAGTTATACAGAAGAAAATTTCAACCAAATATGAGGAGAGAGGATCCTAAGACAAAGCAGGTTGAAAATGAAATGAGGCCAGCTTGGTGGAGAAATAGGGATAGAAAGAGAAATAGAAAGAGAGGGCAAAAAATGAACACTTATTGGGAATGACTTAGACACAATTTGTACTTCAGTTAAGGATTGGATTCAGTAACTTCTAAGGTCTCTTCTGCCTCTGGGATTAATTCCAACAATAAGGACACAAAAAGTATATTTGCAGAAGCTAAGTAGCAAAGCAGATAGAGCACCAGCCCTGGAGTTAGTAGGACCTGAGTTCAAATCTAGCCTCAGATACTTATGTGACCCTGGGTAAGTCACGTAACTCCAATTGCCAAAAAAAAAAAAAGTGGATTAAGTAGTTCTATAATGAATGGTGAACTAAAGTCGTATTTTTGAGGGTTTTTTGATTTTTTGGTTTTGTTTTGTTTTGGAAAGAAAAAGGCTTTTGTGTCAGAAAAAAAAAAGACACCCACCAGGTTGTGAAGGGCAGCCCATTGTCACTTATATCTTGTTTCTTGTAAGTGATTGTGGATGGTAGGACAGTAACTTCAGATATCAGATACCTGCCAGATAACCTGTGACATATTTCATTATTATGAGATTTTCCTTTGCCCTTCTGTCACTTTGTCTCTACAAGAATAAAGGACAAACAGCAACCTCTGTGGGTAGAGAAGGAGTTGCCCACTAGGGACCAAACTTCCAGGTAGGCAACATAGCTTTCTTTCTTTCTTTCTTTCTTTCTTTCTTTCTTTCTTTCTTTCTTTCTTTCTCTCTTTCTTTCTCTCTTTCTTTTTCTTCCTTCCTTCCTTCCTTTCTTTCTTCTTTTCTTTCCTTTCTTTCCTCTCTCTCTACGTAGGATATCCCACCCTTACCTGCCTGTGCTCTGCCCAAAGAGAATATAAATTTTAATCTCTGAAACTTTTTTTGTTTTGGTTTTTTTCTCTTAAAGACTAGCCTTATCCCCAAATCACTCAAGCCCTACTCAGTCACTGTTTGGGCCCTGTTTGACTCAGAACGAAAGTAAATTACAATTCTTTCTGCTTTGGCCAAACACCCTGAGGGTCTTTCCCTTCCAGATCTATTTTTTTTTAAAGAGGCCATTCTTTGCCTCATTTTTTATTAATCCTTAATCACTGAATAGGCTTTACCTCAGCCAAACTGAGACCTGTTAAAAACCTTAGCTTGAAAAGGCCAAGGTCTCCCACTGCATCCAGGGCCATCTTCAGGCATCCTGATCTATATCTTGCCACTGGACCCAGATGTCTCCAGAGAACAAAGTGAGACTGGTAACTCTACACTGCCCTCCCTCACTTAAATCCAATTCCCTTGAATGTCATGGCATCACCTCCCTGACGTCACGGTCCTCTTTGAGAACAAAGGACAAACAACAACAACATAGTCACCACCCTAGTTCAGGCCCCCATCCCCTCTTTACTGGATTATTGCAATAATCTCCCTAATTCAAGTAGCTCTCCATTCCAATCCATTCTGTACTCAGCCGCCAAAGTGATTTTTCTAAAGCCAGGTGAAACCATTGTATCCTACCACCTAATTCAAAAAGTATTCAAGCCTCAACCACAAAACATGCCTTTACTTTCATCCTATCTAGCATCTATCTTGCTAACTTAATTCCATTTTGTTCTTGTACTCTACCTTTGGTGCATAAATTGTGAGAGATCTTCTTACCAACAGACGAGTTATAATAGTATATCGGTTGTGTAGAGTCCTCAGATCATGAGGTCTTTCTCATTCTAAAACCACAAACCTTGGAGCCCTAATAGCCTTCTATAGTCTACTTCATTCAACCTACGAGCTCATTTTTCTGTCTTCCCTATAGTGGAATCTTGCATAACTATCACCACCATGAGTCACTCTAACTAGTAGGGCTTCATATGTCCTCTTTAGGATTTCATCAAGGGAAGAACTTCTTTTATTCGATGGATTGGACTGTCCCGTAGAAACTCTGACGGGATCTGGGTCTGGGAAGATGGTTCACGCCTCTCGGAGAATGTGTAAGTCACTAGACATCTATAATTAAGACACACTTAGGATGCTTTGTTCCTTTGGCATGCTCCAACAATTACACTCCTCCTAACTATTCTCTCATTTTTTCCCTCCACTGCCTGTTACTTTATTCTATCTCTGAGGCAGATAAAACTGGCAAGGTAATATAATGATAGCACCAGAAAACTGTTTCTAGCAGAAATATCTCATGATTAGATCTTGAGGTCTAAAAGATTTCCTAACATTCAAGATCCTCAACAAGGGGGCCCCAACCTATATTATGTCCTCTTGCTCCCTAACATAAGTTTTTTGCTTTAGCCTGGGGTGGGGAACCTGTGGCCTCGAGGCTACATGTGGCCTTCTAGGTCCTCAGGTGCAGCCTTTTGGCTGAGCCCAAGTTTTACAGAACAAATCCTTTTATTAAGGGGATTTGTTCTGTAAAGTTTGGATTCAGTTAAAGGGCCACACCTGAGGACCTGCTTTAGCCTATTTGACCTGTCAGACCATTCTTTCTCACTCTCCTTTGGTAGATTATCATCTATGTCAATAAAACAACCAATAAACATTTATTAAATGCCTACTATGTGCCAGCCAGTGGGCTAAGTCCTGGGGATACAAAAAGAGGCAAAAGATAGCCCCTGCTCTCAAAGAGTTCACAATCTAATAAGAAAGTCAGAAAGCAAATAAATACAAAGAAACTATGTACAGGGTAAGTAGGAAATAACTGAGAGAGGGAAGTAGAATTAAGAGGGGTTGGGAAAGGCTTCCTTGTAGAAGATGAGATTTTAGTTGAGACTTAAAGAAAGTCAGGGAAGGCAGTATGTGGAGTTGAGGAGAGAGAGCATTCCAGCCTGGGGGACAGTCAGAGAAAATGCCTAGGGCTGAGAAAAGGAATGTCTTATTTGTGGAATAACAAGAAGGGCAGTGTCATTGGATTAAGAGTACATGTAGGGGAGTAAGGTATAAGAAGACTGGAAAGATAGAAAGCTATGTTATGAAGGGCTTTGAATTATAAACAGAGGGTTTTATGTTTGATTCTGGAGCCACTAGAATTTATTGGGTAGGAGGGGTGCCATGGTCAGACATGTACTTTAAGAAAATCATTTTAGTGGCTGAATGAAGGATGGATTGGAGTGGGAGAAACTTGAGGCAGACAGATCTGTTAGTAGGTTATTTTGATAGTACCCAAACATGAGGTGATAAGGACCTGTACCAGAGTGATGGCAGTGTCAGAGAGAAAAGGGCATTTTCAAGAGATGCTTCAAAGGTGAAAAAGCTAGGCCTTTGACAATAGCTTGGATATAAGGATATAAGGATCAAGGATGATTGCTAGGTTACAAGCCTTAGGGAATGGAAGGATGGTGTTGCCCTCTACAGTAACAGGGAAAATATGAAGGAGTGAGAGTTTAGGGGGAAAGATAATGAGTTCCATTTTAGACACATTGAGTTTAAGATGTCTACTGGGCAACTAGTTTGAGACGTCTAATAGACAGTTGGAGCTATGAGACTGGAGGTCAACAGAAAGTTTGGGGTAGGATAGGTAGATTTGAAAATCATCAGCATAGAAATGGTCATTAAATCCATGGGAGCTGATGAGATCACCAAATGAAGTAATGTAGAGAGAGAAGAGAAGTGGGTCTAGGACAGAACTCCTTAATGATGAGGATGCGTCCTCAGCCCTCTTTTTTTCTCTCTACATTTTTCCTCTTAGTGATCTCATCAGCTATCATGGGTTAAATTATCATCTTTATTCAGATGATTCCTGGACCTACCCCTAGTTTTTCTTGAGTTTTAGTCCCATGTTACCAAATGCCTTTTGGACATTTGAATTGAATGTCTTCTCAACTCAATATGTTCCAAAGAGAATTCATCATCTTTCCCCCCAAATCCATCCTTTTACCAAACTTCACTCTTACTATCAAGGATACTATCCTTCTGGTCACCCAGACTTGCAACTCTCTTGTTATCCTTGACTTCTCATCCTCACTTAACCCATATAGTAAATCACCTGTCAGATCTTGTGGTTTCTACTTCCACAACATCTGTCACATCTATTCCCTTCTCTCTACCCACACAGTCATGCCCCAGTTCAGGACATCTTCACTCCTCAAAAAGACTATTACGATACTCTGTTAATGAGCCTCCCTGTATAGACATAGTCTTGTCCCAATCCATCTGCCAAAGTGGTTTTCGTAAAGTATAAATCTGATCATTTCATCCCCTACACTCTCTCTCTCTTTCTCTCTCTCTCTCTCTCTCTTCCTCTCTCTGTCTCTCTTCCTCTCTCTCTCTCTCTCCTTTATGGAGTCTTCTTTGATTACCCAGTCCAATCCATAGTCACCTCTGTCTCCCTTGAACTCCTATAACACCTATTTGACATTTCCTGATATCTTGTCTTGTGTTATTCCTTGAATTTTCACTTATCAGCTTCTATTAGCTTGTCTCTTCAATGAGACTAAGCTCTCTGAGGGAAAGGTCTGTGTCTTAAATCTAATCCATAGTTGGTAATTCATATGATTGGTGATCAAATAAATATTTACTCTTTATTTTTTAATTAAGTTGCAGTTTTTATTAACTTTTACCTACCATTTCCTTCCACAGGTTTAAGCTTTTAGGAAATGAAGAAGATCAACATTGTGCTTACTTCCTTAAGGGAAAAATTTATACTTCACTCTGTGAGGACACACGTTACTTAATTTGTGAGCAGAAGGCCAACACAGTGAGGATAGACAAACTGATTTAATGTACTGGAAAAACAAATGGAGAAGAATGACATGTCATTGATAAGCAGCTTGTTGATGGTGGCAAATGAGAAAGTCCTCAACAGAAAGAAAAGACTTTGCCCCTTGGCTTTAACACAGACACAGACACAGACACAGACATAGACACAGATACAGACACGCACACGCACACACACACGCACACGCACACATACTTTTGGCTTATCATCTTCCTGTACCCATAGACACCCTAACTTTCGTGTTCTTCCCAAAATTTTTTTGTGTTTGTTTATTTTCTTGTTTTGCACATAAGCCCTATTCTTAGCCTGTTGACTTTTGTTTTTTCAAACTTGAGTGTTTCTCACTACTTTCTCAACCATCATCATATGTAAATAAATCAGGGCAGGGATTGCTAGTGTCTCATGGATTAAGCACTTGACCAGACTCGGAACACTTCTAGGAGGACAACAAAGTGATTACTACAAAGCATGCTACGGAAAACAGCTTTGAAAGACAACAGAATGCTGATCAATGTTGTGCCCAAGCATGACTTCAGAAGAAATCTAATGATGGAGCAGGCATGCCTGTCTCTTGGCAGAGAGGTGATAGACTAAAAATGAAGAATGGGATGCCTATTTCCCCACGTTGGCCAATGTGGTGATATATTTTGCTTTATTGGACTTATTTGTTACAGGGGAGGATGTCAGTGTGGGCAGGAAACAGTGAAAGCTAACAGAGATGCCCAAAAAAGAACATCAGCAAAATAAAAGAAATACACAGACAAAATCAAAACAAAAAGCACAAAAAGGGAAATAGGACAATTTTGTAACTAATGGTTAAATCTAATGTATGTAGCTATGTAATATGCAAAGTTATGTAAATGCAGAATATAGTTATGTAAATGCAAAACACATAGCTAGCTGAGGAGTGGGGTGGCGCTTGTAGCTAGGTGGTGCAGAGGAGAGTGTGCTGAGCCTAGAGTCAGAAAGACTCATATTTCTGAGTGCAAATCTGGCCTCAGACACTTACTAGCTGTGTGACCCTGGGCAAGTCATCTAACCCTGTTTGCCCCAGTTCATCATCTGTAAAAAATGAGCTGGAGAAGCAAATGGCAAATCACTCCAGTATCTTTGCCAAGAAAACCCCAAACTGGATCATGAAGAGTCAGACATAACTGAACAACAATACCTTTTTAAAGCAATCTATATGTAATAGAAGTTCATGGTTTCACATACAATCTTCCTTATTGTTCTTCTTTGGATGATGGAATATTTCTGTTTGTTGATGATTTTTAAGAGCTTAATAAATAGATGCTGCTCTTATGAAGCACCACCTTTCATGGCAAAATCTTTGCAGGAGTGGGGAACCTGCAGCCTTGAGACTATGTGTTTGCATCCAATCCAAGTTTAAATTCAGTCAAAGGGCCTCATTTGAGGACCTAGAGGGTTACATGTGGCCTTGAGGCTGCTGGTTCCCCACCCCTGCTTTAAGGTCTACTGAAGGACCATCTACCACTTAAATGGCCTTTAAGCCATTGCTGAACAACTCTGTCCCTGGAGAAATGAGAATCCTGGAAGAAGCAGAACTAGAGGATAATGAGAAAAGCAGAAACAGATAGAGAAAAAAATACACCAACCAACATAACACTACTCTGAAGGAGTGAGAAAATATGGGAGGTGAATAGAGACCAGAAATCCCAGGCTTTGCCTTTTCCCTTTGGAAAGACCAAGACTCAGATGTTAACAATTTGCTCTGTAGGGAAGGTCATGCCAAAAGTTTGCAGTTCACAGTGTTTAGAGGTAAACATGAGCAGGAGAAGCACTAGGAACAGAAGTGTAATGGCCCTGATAATGACACTTCAGATAGAGCTCAGATCCTCACAATGGATCAGGGGCATCTGCAAGGTGGCTGAGAGGTCATTACCTTCTTGCATTAACTCTGTCCTAGAGCCAGGGTCAGTAAATACTGAAACTTTCCCATGTACGACCCCACTCAGTGTTTCCAAGGCCATGAGCCAACACCTTCCCTTCCCATGAGCCCCGTCAGGCCAGATATCAAATCCTTGCCGCCTTAGAAGCCTCTGCTGAGGGTCTATTCTGCTTTTCTGAGGAGGCTGACTAGAGAGCTTCCCTTGCTCCTTGTCATTAGAAAACAAAGCACTTTAGTTCTACCCTTTAGTCTTTTAAGCCTTTCCTGGGAAGGAATTATTCATTGGCAATTAATTTCTCTAGTAGCAGTAGTGTGGAAAGGCCTTATCAATTCCAGATTGTAATGAACAAAAGGCTGTGCTCAACCTGCCTGTGAATGTTCCCATGCTGGTGTCCTCCATGTTGCTGCCTGAATGCTACTGAAGCTTACGTTTCTGTTCCCTTTGCCAGGGACCACAGATACTTCCTCTGCTCCTCTATACTAGGGTTGAATGCTGTCCCACTCTTCCAGGGTCTGGCCACGACCTTCCCCCAGCTGATGCCTGAGCTCTCACCCTGTGCTGAGGCCTGAACGCCACCAAGCTTTCCTGAGATGATGAGGCCAAGCACTCAAGCTCACAGGAATGTACATCTCAGGACTGCTCTTTACTCACTTGGGTAGATACACAAAGCAGACTCATTCAGTTGCTCTAGTTACCATATATAAATAGGCACTGTTTTAGCTAGAGTGGAAGAGGGTAGCTGGGGCCCTCATCAAGACCCATCCCACAGTGGTGCCTCACCCAGTTCTTTCTTAAGGACCCAGAGAGAAAGAGAATTATTGGAGTTCACCGTTCTGGAGAAAAGGTGAAAGCTGTAGCTGTCTCTCCTTTCAAAATGTCCTCAGCGAATCAACTGGAAAAGCATTTAGCACATTTATCCATGTCTTCAATTTTTGAAAGGTCTTTAGGGAAAGGTTCTGGGAAGACCCAAGCATGGTCCTTTTAAGAGTTTACCTAGTGCCTGGAACCAAAGAGCCTTCATGGTCTTCTAAATACTAAATATAACATCCCCAGCAATTCACTTAGACAATCCACAAATTAAAAGTCATAAGGGAGGGCCAGGCCTTCCGTAACTGGTGGGCCTGGAGGTCACTATCCCACATCAAATACAAAAATTTTGCAAATTCAACCAACAAAAGTTTACATGAATCATTTTTAGGCAAGGGTTTTAAATGAACAGAACATATCCACATCTATCTCTAGCTGTTGTGCCCACATTCTACTTTTTAATCTCCCCAGGTCAGTGGAGACTGCCTTGTAGTATGCAATCAAAGGCAGAAACATCACCAGGAGCATGGTGGTCAAAGGATTTGAGGCTCATATATTATGGCATCTGATCATTTGGGGCTATTCTTCCTCTGCGTGGCCCTTCCCCCTTTAATCATTCTGATCTAATCTTGGTGACTAATACCTGTTCTGATTCAAACCACTTTAGTAATTTAGATTTAGAACGGAAATAAAATAGGCCCGTCCAAACCATTTAGCAGTTAACAAAAGGAGGGTTATTAATCATAGCATGGAAAGGATATTCAACAAGAATACAGAATTGCTTCAGGTGGGCACAGCTTCTCTGACTCCGGATTTGCTATGCTGACTTACTGGTAAGACATGGAACCTGAAGAGCCCAGCTGTCTCCTCATGCCCTGGCTTTAGTACTTGGGGCACCAGGAAACTACGTTAGTGGTTTGGTCTAGTGCTTTGCCTGCATGGGGTAGATGGTGCTTATAAAACACTAGTGCTTAGCACAATGCCTGACACATAGTAAGCTTAGCACATAGTAAGCAATTAATAAATGTTAGCAGATTGATTTTTACTGTAATGTTTGTGTTGATGAATGTAATTAATTATTTTATAAAGAAAAAAATTAAAAGGGAAAGAAAAGCTAAAGTCAGACTGCGTGAAAGATTTTAAATGACAAGCAGAAGAGTCTATGTTTAATTCTAAAGGCAATGAGAAAGTCTATTGAGGAGGGAAATAACATGGTCAACTATGCGCTTTGGAAAAATTGACAGCTGAGTGGGTATACAAATAGAAAACTGGAGATAACCTCTGACCACAAAGAACTCACATTCTTAAGGGCAATATATACAAGCAGTTTCAGCTATAAGCCAGATGGAAAGGTTCCATGGTATTTAGGGTCGCTCAACACGGTAGTTTGTAGTGTATCTTCCTTAATGTCATGTGGGGATATATCATTGGATTTAGGACAGGACTGAACTTTCTGTTTCTGTCTCTTTACATAGAAAGAAGAGATGGTCAAAGGTGTCAAAGGTGAAGAGGAAGAATATTCCATTTGTTTTGCATGACTGTACATATGTGGAATAGGTTTTGTTTATCTTGCCTTCTCAATGGGTGGGGAAGAGGAGGAGAGGGAGAGAATTTGAAACTGAAAATAAAATGTAACTTAGAACAGGAAAAAAAAATTAAAAAAGAAAAGAAAAAGCAGGTTCCTGGTTCTCTTGAACATAGTCATTACCATCCTGTAGTCATTATACTAAGTAATAAATATTATCCATTTTGTTTGTTATCAATATCAAAAGTAGCCTGGAGTCAGGAAGACTCATCTTCCTAAATTCAAATCCGGTCTCAGACACTTAATAGCCCAAGTCACCTAACCCTGTTTGCCTTACTTCCTCACCTATAAAATGAGCTGATACTTCAGCACCTTTGCCAAGAAAACGCCAAATGAGGTCAGGAACATGAGTGAAACGACTGAACGACAAAAGTAAGGCAGTCAATGTACTTGGAACTGTTCCAAGTACTTTATGAAATCTGTTGAAGAGATAATATTATTATTCTCTAGAAGCTGACGATTCAAAATGCACAATACTGAAGTGGATCTATGACATCATCAAACCATGTGTGCCTACTTATCCACGGACTTATCCAGGTCTTCTCATTACTGAAGATGTACCAATACTGGAGGTCTTCCTCACTTTCTCTTGACCTTGCACAAGTACCAGTAGCACAATCTGGGGATCCAACTGTCATCTTTGGTTCTTGCCACATGGTTAACACATCTTTTCTTCATAGCAAAAATGCCCTGGTGATACTAATTGTGGGTGACCCACAGGACTCTGTCCTGGACCTTCTATTCTCCCTCTATTCTATTTCACTTGGCAATTTCATCACCGCCCATGGATTCAGTTATCAGCTCTATGCAGATGATTCTCAATTCTGTTTATATAGGATCTCTAGTCTCATGTCTCTAACTGCCTGTTGTCCAATATTGTCCAATTTCAAACTAAATGTCCTGCAGACATCTTAAACTCCACATCTCCCAAACTGAACTCAATAAACCAACCCAACCACACCCCTTCTAAATTTCCTTATCACTGGCAAGGGTATTTCCATCCTCCAGTCACCCAGGTTCCTAACTTAGATGAAATCCTTACTTTCTTATTCTTTCTCTCTCAGCACCCCATATCTGTTACTAAGTTCTATTGATTCTATTTTATACCATCTCTCATATATATTCTCTTCTCTCCTCTGACACCAAGTTCTTTCCCTTTGGTAGGGTACAGGGAAAATCAAGGTATTTCTGCAAATAGAGAAAATTGCATAGATCACTAGAAAAGATGATCTCATGACCCTCAGTACTTTCCACCAGGTAGACCTCAACCAAGTCTAACAGTGGCTACCCTGGCCTCCACTGCCTGAAGGCCAGTTATGTTACATTTCACCCCATTCCCAAAGTTTTCTACTACTTGGGGTTGGGGGTTTCTAGTCTCTCTACCATTAGCTCAAGCCACTATCAATTGTGTTTGCCCAATTTTAGCCATCCCCTGTACCCTAATACCATTTAGCCACCAAACAGTGGGATTAGCTTCTACAAAGGATGACTTATCTCAGAGATATAGCTAGACCAACTATACAAACATCTTCCCCAACACATGGGGACATAATCCACCCTCACGCCCCCAATTCTACCTCACTCTCTGAGGAGGGGAGAGAGATTAGGTTCATAGCTTAACTCATTTTCTATATAGCATGGTTCTACCAAGTCCCAAATCCAAAGTTCCCCCTGCTCTGGACTTTTGTTCT